GCTTTTATTTGGATATAATCGTTTCGTTCAAACAAAATCTTTGAAAATTGAACAAAAGGTTTGTCATCACATAATCGAACAAAAAAAAGTTTAATTTACTTCAGAAGTTTTTTTTAAGCGTTGCAAGTTTAAATTTTGTCGACATTTGTACAAACCCCGGCATTTCATCACGTGTATAACTGAACTTCGATCACAATCGTTTTTCGTTAACCACTCTCCCTTGTTAACCTAGGTAATCCGGAAACCAACAAATACAGTACAAATAAATTGCCAGTTTTTCTGGTTTTCGTTTAGAATACAACCTATATACAAGGAGATGAGTCGAAAATGACAGTGCACCGCGCAACGATAGACGAAAAAAAACGCTTTGAGAAAGTTCCTAAAAAGTTTTTTATCGGAGCAAGATTTCTGGTGAAAAAGTTGGTTACAGACAAAAACGGGGAGAAAACCGCATCGCGTTCGTGTCGTATACTTTACAACTGACACTCGGTTTGTAATTCGTAGCCTCGCGAGAAATACCATAAATACGAGATAATATCATTTTTACTTTTTAAAATACGGAACGTCAAATTAAAAAATATTACGCTATTTAACGAGTAAAATACAAATAAGCGGCCCAAAGGCGGCGACTCAATCCCTTTGTTATTAATTTGTTCGGTTTTGTTTTTTGAAAAAGTACATTGCCTTTCGTCAGGGCCCGTTTGAAGGCAGTGCAAGCTGTGCACGCGCACAGAGCCCCGCGCTCATTTAAAGGCCCCGTCGTTACCGTAGCTAGTGGCTACGGCTATAATTACTATAGTAATTTCACACGGTTATTTAAGACAATAGAAATTAAAATGTACGAACTAAAGAATAACCGTATTGTAAACATGTATTTGCAGGTATTATTAGAAGATGGAAAAAAAAAGAAGCTTATCGAGGCCCCGCGAAAACGACCGCGCAGAGCCTGGATTTTTTTCAAACTTGGATTTTTTCCAAACTTGGATTTTTTCCCCGCCTTCCGTCATTTTCCGACGAGCCCCGGACGCCGACTGTGACGGTGACGACGGTGCGCGGTCAACATCAAACGTCCGCCAAAAGTTTACAGCGCACTTGGTGGCGCGCCGCGGTGCCATTACGTGTCGCTATAATATTACGACGTGCATACCCACGCCGTAATAACAACACGATAACAATAATAATAATATTATTATTATAATACGCCGCCTGCTATAATATTTACTGTTATGTCGTACAAACTGCAGCTGCAACAGTCACAAGTGGTTTTTTTTTTTTTTTTAGTTTTTTAGTTTCTCTCGCGTGTGCGCCAAAAACGACGATACCGTAACGACGTTCGCCCACGAATATTATTGAAAAGGACGTCGCGCCGCGGAGCTTTTACAGTTCGATAGGACAAACGCCTGTTCGCAATAATACCGCACACATAATATTATTTAGGTATAATACGCGCGGTGCGGGCGGATTCGCGACGTTTTTCCGGGAGGGGTCTTGACAACAATCATACGCATTTCAAAGGTCTACATTAAAAGATGCCTCTTTTTTTTTTTTATAGACGACGCTTTATCGAAGGGACCTTCCCCGTCAATCCCCGCCGCAGTGTTCGAAAAGAACAAGGCGTAGACAATCGTACAATATTCATCCCCGAAGCGTTTAACAAACGAAACGATATAATGACCGATAAAAGTTTAAAACCTCAGTTCAATTATTGCAGTATCGGGATCGATTTTATTTCGAAAAATAAAGACGATTAATATGATAGCGTTATTTTTAGAATCCTGGATCGGTCGATACCTTATTTGGAATCGATACAACAATTGTGTATAACTGTTCAGAACCGTGAGTCGAAAACAATCGAAGGATGGACATTTAAATATAAAAATGTCGAAATCCTTTCGTTAAAAATACAATAGATACCGATTCAGTATTTGAAGACAGATTCTTTCGATTCTACATTGTAATCGAAATCGATTAAAAATTGGAACCGATCCATCTCTATAGTATTATACGAGTATAAAATCCACAGTAAGCGATGTCGATTCCCTATGCAATATTCGACTGGATCTATCGGAAGGTTATATAGGTATATACACAAAACATCGCAACTCATATTTAATTTGTTTAAATAACTGTAACTGTTTTTTTAGATTACGGATGAAGTGAGGAATTTATTGGTTTTACTACGCTGTGTGTTTTTTTCGTGTTCGCAATCAACTTTTCTGCCACAAGCTACTGCTTAACTACTGTTTAAATCAAAAATTGTATTGGAATTTTCTTGTAATATTTTCAATTTATAGTCGGTGTGTTGGAGAGAATATTTTTTGATTTTTCTTAATTAATCGAAAAAATGGCAACTTTTTGGTGTAATTTTTCGTCAATTTCCATGGGTTACCCCTTTCTGTAACAAGGGAGAAATAAAATACGCTTCTTCGAAATATCGATGTCTATAGAAATTTCAAAATAGTTTTAATCTCTGAACCTTATTTTAAAGTCCTTTCCGTAGATTTTACGACGTACGTGAACATACGTGAACACACTTTTAGTATAAATGTTTATAGTTTATTATACAATAGAAAGACGGAAACGTCAAATGTCAAACTCACAACAGTGGCTTACCCATGACATTATACTGTACGAGGAGCGTATTAGCTGCAGTGATATATAAAACACTCGACGCACTGAATTTTTGTTTTTAAAATGAGACTTTGATATTGTCGACACGTCAAAAATTTAATCCAACTCGTTTCTACTGAACCCGACGAATTCAGAGATAAAATATTGATAATCCCTAAATCACGATTTAAATAACGTACCTACTTAAAAATTCAATTACCTGTACGTAATTATCACTGACATTCTTCGTGATACATGTAATATTTTATAAAACGAGTACAAAAATGACATAGTTATGATGGGGGAGAGGGGTAAGGGAGCCTAAACCCCCCTCCCTCCGACTTCTTAAAAAACATCAATTAGGTATTTTACGATAATAATTTGAATTCAATAAAAATTGTTATAACATGAAAGGCTTGTGCGAGTTATGTTAAATGACTGAAGAATCATTGAACATTCAATAGTATGTGCCGTTTTTATCGAAACTCCTTAGATCAGGAGTGTCCGACCTTTTGGGATGACCGGGCAAAATTAAGTGAGTAGAATTTGTTGTGGGCCAATTACATTTTTGTGATAATACGTTTAATTCATAACTATGTAATATTTCGAGTAGCGAGTAGAAATATTCGAAAATAATTATACTCGTATTTATTATTTATTTATTTATATTAAATGTAATTATAAGGAAAAAAACGGACATACTTCGTACGATGAATGGGTCACTGTTGTAGAAGAGAAGTTGGGAAGGTAAGATATAGAGAGATATTTAATGTCTATCTATACGCAACGATTAAACATTGCTAACGAAAAACGATTCTGAGCAGAGTTTGGTTATCCACATTTTGAAAGACCGTACAATTTACGATTTTCGTCAAATGTTTCTTTGGTAGAATTTATAAAAATTGAATAAAGAGGATTACTTAAATTTTTCTACACATCCTATTTCATTAAATTTTTACTCCTACATTTAAAGCTTAAAAAAATAGATAGGTTCGGTCATAATTTTTTGATACGCATACCCCCAAATATTTCTTCATTCTACCTATGCTGTAGTTCAGCACTTCTCGTTCGTTAAATATTAAAGCATAGCCGACAATAGTGGAGAACTTTGATTTAGGCCTGGTGTGGAGGAGATGCGTATACTGAACGGAAACGTGAAACACTATGATCATACGTATATATTTGGTCACGATTTAAATTATGAACAATTTTAAAAATTGTCCTTTTCTCATTCCTCCCCCAAGTAAAATTCTTGGCAAAGCCAGTACAATAAACTACCTAAAAAAAAAAAAAAACCGTACTCGTTATGCCTTTATTACGCTATAAACCTTACATCTCTACATGTGTTAAATATTTAAAACGGACAATGCAGCGCAATATACAAACATATATATATACGTGTTTTAAACCCAATACGATAATACGGTTTTGTTTCTCTCGCCGGTTATTTACGAGGTAAATCTTTGAAAAATGTGAAAGCATCGTTTGGCCGAAGGATACCGAATACAGTTATTCGATTGTATTATTATGTGCGTGCGTGGAGCTCTTATAATATTACCAAGGACTTCTATGGGTCAATCCCGGGCCATATATAATGTATTTTCGTCATTATCTAACCACTCTAACCTTCGTGGGACACGCGGTAAACATTATGGTATCATAACAGAGCTCGCACTGCAAGCAACAACCGACGACGTCGATCGGTAATCCGTTTAAAAAACAACCGTTTCGAAAATGTTTTTTACATTATGTACCTACAACGTCACAGATGAGCACTAAAAAAAAAAAGAAAACACCGAAGATTACACATTTCTATATTATTATATACTTTTTATACGTTGATCAAAATAATGACTGTCAATGACTACTCTTTATTCTGTTCAACGGGAGTCTAAAATTTAGTGCACAATGGTGAGACATTTAGGGTTATATTCCCCCACTCAATGGTTTAGTCATTTTATCCAGAATTGTATATTTCAGTCAAGTTACGTGGGAAAAGTTATTGAAAAATTGTTTTTTTTTTTTTTTTTTTTTTTTTTTTTTTTTTTAATCCGGCTACTAAATTCGTATTGGTGTTTAAGGTATGACTGCTGAAGAAGATTCTACAATTTTATTCATGAATCGTAATTATCAGCGCTAAAAATCAACAAAAATACACTTAAAAACATTTAAAAACCAAAAATAGTGGAGGAATTTAAAAAATGTCTCACCTAATGGTTTTACAAATAAAATAACTTTGTATTACTAAAAAATTAGTAGCCTTACATTTTTTTTTTTTTTTATAACTTGTGTAATATTATAAAATTTCATTTAATAAGTTTGAGCCGTTAAGTTAGAGGGGTAATTTTTAAACACACCTAATATTTTTGCTTTTTCAAATATTTGTTGACGTAAACTTTTAGTTAAAAGAGTTTTATAAACTCTTTTTGTGGATTTTAAATGCTTAAAGTCCCGATCTCTGGCGATTAATATTTATGATATCGCACTTTTTTAAATTCCTGGATGCATTACCGCAGAGCTCAAAATCTAGTTGTAGCCGTGTCTGCACTACTGGGATCTATAGTTATTTGGTACTTTGGTACTATTATTGACAATACACCATCATGACCATAGTATGTAGTAAACCATTGATTAATTTATATATTATGCATAAATATAATCACATAATTCATTTCCATTTTGTCAATTGTATGTATGTATAATAATTCAGTCAATGGACAATGTACATACAACCTATACGTTAAAAAACCTATAGGGACGTTAGATTAGATAATACATAATAATATATTAGGCGTCTACGTTATCTGATCATTAGGTATGCCCTAATTAGAACATAACAACGTGTTTATTTTTTGATCATTTAACGATTTTAACACGATATTTACAAAACAAGCTATGTGTGTAGGTATAATATATTATAGTATAATAATATAGGTGGGTAGGTTACTTTACTTTGCTATGCAATATAAATAATGTCATGTCAGTCATCATTTAAACAATATTAATTATTATGCATTAAAAACGCATTTAAACGCAATGATACAAATATCAATTGACCTTTTTAATAAAAATATTATAAATATGTACCTATATTGAAAACTTAATTTTCAGACTGGGTTATGATTTCATTTGTGTTGCATCGTTAATGATATGATTGTATACATATATATAAAAAAACACAAATACCTATAAATAAACTTCTGTTACTATTGACACGATTATTTTTAAATAGTTTTAATTGAACTCGTTGTTTGACCTTAGAAATTAATTTATGTATGATAAGTGATAAAAATATTATGTAAGTATACAGTAAATTATTTATACTACATAATATAGACATAATAATGTGCATATAATTTATAGACTGCAACAACATAATTACTATATTCGTTTTGATTTAACGTGTCGTGAAAACCTATACAGGGTGTCCTACGGTGATTTACCCATTGCGATATCTTGGAAAGTATTGACTTCTTTAAATATTTTTTTTTTTAAATTTAAGAAACAAATTGCAATAAAAATGTACACTTTTATAATTTCCGTAGCCCTTATTTTCAAGAGTGAAACGGCCCTTACCAAATTTAAAAGTGGAATATTCCGTTAACGGTTTGACGTTTGATTTACACTAAATTAATATTCCCATTCATTGTAACGAAAAGGCAATATCAATGGCCACCTATCGGCTCAGACAAAATATTTAAACATTTATTTTATTTTATATTCTATATTTTTTTTTTTTTATTCTGGTGGTGCTGCTGAGTGCCTGCCCACAAATGTTAAATTCTGTTACTTTATATTACATCAACTATCAAATTTGCTCATTGTACATAATGTTGTATAGATTGTAAATAAAATTGCTTTAAAAAAAAAATATTTTTTATCCTACTTTTATTCTTAGATTATTTTATTTATTAATTTAATAACATATAACCCCCAGCACCGGACACGATAAGAAGAAGAAGAAGAAGAAGAAGAAGAAGAAGAAGAAGAAGAATATCAAATGGTTTATTCCAAATCTCGTATTTACACTAGAAGTTCTTAAACTCCATCTCAATAATATGGGTGGAAATAAATTAATACTAATTAATAAAACTATAATTGACGAAACGAAATTCAAGTGTTTTGGCGATACGATGACCGCCCTTCGTTTAAAATCATAAAAGATAATGAGCACTATATTCACCGTTGTGTTGTGGTCCCATGTAATATATTATATAGGTACTCCGGATGTAATCCACGACTCACAGTTATAGAACGTGGTTATAAACACTACATGTATATAGATAATTATCTATAATCGTGCTACAATCGTGTAACTTTATCAGTTATCACAATTTGTTATTACGGAAAATCACATTTTTTCAACGTCTGAAAATTGTTTGGTGAAGCAAGTGAAGCAAGTGCAACATTTGCAACACCCTAAATAAGCCACTGACATTTTCTATCGAAAAAGACTGTATACTTGAAATTCGGAGCAAGATTCCTGCAGGTGGAAAAACAAAAATCGTAAAAAAATTGTATATTAATTTTAATATTCATTGTAGTATACAAAAGAAAATATCTCACGCATTTAGATTTAAGACTCATAAAATCCATTCAAACTAGTTGATATATAAGTGTAAACTATAATATTTTGAATTAAAAAAAAAAATTGCGTATTACGAGCCGTCATTAACTAAATTATAGTGTGAAGTTTAAAAATAGTATTATTATTATTATTTTTTAATTAAGAAAAATCATATTTATTCTAAACATGTATGCTTAGAGGGGTTTTCCGGTGTCTTTGTTACGAGACTGAGATAAGGATAATTTTTTCAACAAACTGTTATTGTTAGGTATACTTAGGTACATTTGTGTTACTATTGTATTGTTACTACAAATTATTATTACTATATTACTATAAATATCGAATGGAAATAAAATCGTGGGAGAGGATATAATATCGCCCTCACCCCCGTCACCGTTTGACGACTCAAGACTGTTCGATTATTTTTTTTCCCCCGCGATATTAAGTAATCGTATGAAAAATTAATCAAAAAACCGATCTATCGCGAATCATTTTTCTACTGGTACTACGCCACTATACAATAGATACAATAACTACGATAGTGAACTGACGGCGGAGAACCGGCAGTAAAAACTTAACAGATTATAATATTATTATACTTTGATAATATGTGAAAGTGATAAGCTATTATACCGTGAGTTGTGCGAATTGCCAGTGACGCTAATAGCGACAACAGTATCCCGTATCTGTTATTTAATATTTCAGATCATATGCAGTACACTGTTAATGAGAGCCATTAAAACATCCGTGTGTTTTGTATCTAAATATAGACAATTAATTTCCGATTCATCTGTTGAAATAATCGAACAGCCCTATTGAATATAATATACCAGGTACATAAACTGCACAATTATTTTTATAATTGTACGTATCTTTATACTGTTAAACCCATAAAAAAAATTAAAAAAGATTTACTACCTATAATATTTAAAAACGGATACCTATAACGGTTTTGAATTAATTTTTATGTGACATAATTTTACAATACGCACCTGCTGCAGCTGCAGCTGCAGCTATATTATCGTACAGCTATATAATCTGTTTTTATAGGTATCTAAACAATAATATTATTGTACACGCCTCTCAGATTTTCGAGTTGTCCTCATAACATAAAGCAATTTAAACGCCTAAATACTTTTCTTACGAAACGTAAACATTTAATTTTCTAATTTATGTTCTAAATACGCCGGTATATTATTTTAATATTCAATATGGTACAAATAATGAATAATGAAAAAAAATGAAGTTGTAAAAGTCTGTGTACGCGTCAGCTGTAGCGTAAATAAATTAGAAGCAATGCGACTGCGTACGGGATTTTAGGGGGACATTTCTTTCGGTATAAAACATCCAGAAAAAAAGCTTTTCTTCAATCTATCTTACATGAAAAAATGCGTACGATAAATAAATTCACGGTACTCGAGACAATAATTATATTTTTATCTACGATTCTCAACCGAAATGGAATGGACTACGGAGCCCGTGGTTTAATATCTAGACGTATACATTCAAGTTTATTTATATCGATTGTTATAATCGGTTTAGGTGTAAAATGCGCGTTTTGGGCTACCATTTATTTCGATTAAAATAGGTATAATAATAACAAAAGAAATTCGTTATGATATTGATAAAAATGTTATAACAGTTAAAACAAACAAATGTGATGACATAACTAGAGCGTGAATTGTTTATATACAATAAAAAGTGTGTCACAAAAAATGCAGTAAAAATAATATACGAATATTATAAAGTAAAAATTTAAGAAATACAGAAAAATTAAAAATGTTTGTGTGTACAAAAAATTAAAATTAAAATATTGTGTAACATGCGATATTTATTGTTATTTTATTATTCAAATTTGTTAGTTGAATGTTATTTAAGATTTGCTCACGTTAAACTGCTGCAGTGACGCATGTCTGTCAATACGTATTCATCAATTTAAAACGTTAGTTCATCGTAAAATCAAATAGTTGGAGCAATATTTTAGAAGAACTTAATATTATTGGCAGATGTCATCGATTTGACCCTCTTTGCATAACAATACACTATTCATTTTTCGTAGCTGACTCATTTTTTCGCTGCGGCGTATATTTTCATTGTTAATACGTACAGATATTTTAAATTACGGCCAAATATGCGATTAATATGCAATTACGTATCAGTACCCAATTAAAACTTCATGAATGGCTACTAATTAGTAAGAACCGCAAATATTATTAAAAAAACTCTAAAAATGAAAAAAAATATGCAACAATGTATGTTTACACACAAATAAGCGCTCTAAACATAACCTATATTGTTACAGCGATGACGAAATAATATTTTCGTTAAGTACCTAGGTATATCTTCGATCCCAAAAAAAAACAAAAACTTATTCAGTCATCTGCTAAGTTTGAACATGATTTATTTGTTTAAAATAGCTTTAAATGATATCTGTTATCATCAAAATATGTATTTTATCGATCACATACGGGTTATTGAGTATTACAATAATTAGAACTTCCGGTCATCATCGTTAATTTTTTTTTTTGAATGATGACGTCACAAAGGTGAGGTCACGCGGACCTTCCAAGAACCGAGACGCACAGTCACTGAAAGGGTTTTCATTTTTTTACAATTTTCTGTCGTCTTATTCCCAGTTTTTTTTTAATAATTTTAAAATCGTTTTTTATGATATTTACTCAAGCCCTACTAAGCCCTTTGGATCAAAGATATAATACAGCCGCGGAGTTCGTGTGGCGCGGTTTCCGTTTTGTTGCACGCGCACGCGTGCACCACGGTACATGATGAATAGGTATATAAACAAAAATATTATTTTCATTTCGGTTTTTTTTTTCTCTCGTTCGTTCGCTTTTTACCTTTCTACGAGGCGTACATCAACAACAACAACAACAATAATGATTATAACGGCAGTTCGTTTTTGGTTTCGTGATGGTGTGCAGATAGGTATTATAGGTAATAATGCGCGTACCGCAAGCGGTTTCACTAAAACATTATAATAATATAGGCCACGCGTACTTGTTTTCAAAAAAAAAAAAAAAAAACCAAACAAATATTATACTCGTACGAGTAGGCGTAGACGCCGCCTATTTTTTTACGATTATTTTCGACGCTCATTATAGGTGTGTATTATACTTGTACATTATACGCGCACGATAATTTACGAAAATCACGATGTCCGACACACTGATGAGTACCGGTTCAATTTATGCTATATACATTTCGTAACCGTTTATTGTAATAAAAATATATAATATATTCAATATTTATCAATATAACGAATAATTCACGTGTCGTATTGTAATACATTACGTATTATACGCGGCGGTCGTGTACCCGCGGGATTTTTCATCGCGTGGGTGACGGAGGATAAACCGAGAAAACTCGATTGAAAAAATTAATAACAATAAAAATGTTTTGCAAAACACACAATTATGTAGGGCGACCAGTAATTGTACTTGACGGTGGTAAATTATTTTATTAGCAATTAACTGAATTATTACTCGGTATTTTCCGGGCTCGACTTTATCCCTATCGCGATAAATAATCGTCACTCGGAAACGTATCTTACAAAAACTTCCTTGTCCGTGACAGCCAAATTAAATAATAATAAATTATTTTTTTCTATTCCTTGTGCGTGTTTTCAAGGTAAACCATCAATCAACGAAAAATAAACCCGTTCGATTTTTGATCCGAAAACTTCGTGTCCGACACTCTTTCTAGGAGTTGAATTTCGAGATAAAAGTAGACAGCGCCCTTCTCTTGTATTGGTCGTCCAGTGTGTAAAGTTTCGGAATAAAACTGTTGATTTTTATGTAAAAAGCCAACATGCATATTGAACTAGATTTTATAAAAATGTATATATTGTTTAGATAATTGTTCAATGTTGAATAGTTATACCATTTTTTTTTTTTTTTTTTGTACTTAACACGATCAATATAAGGTGGAGGTTGAAGCCCCTTAACTCCCCGCCATTTTATTTACATAGACATTTTATTAGTTTTTTAATTTTTTTTTTTTTTTCCGAAGATTCCGTCGTGGTATATACCGAGAAGAAATACCGGTACAACGAAAAGTGCCGGTTTGTCGACCCGATA